AAATTACATTTTCATTATAAAATAAAACAAGGACATAAAATTAAGATAATCTGGAACTACAGTGGGTGATGGAGTGTTATTTAGCATTGGAGGATCAGAATATCTTTCCTGAAAAGTTCATTTGCTGACATTTTGGGTTGAACAGTTGCTTTGAAAAGTAGCTCTTTACAGAAAAAAAAGGAGTGATTTCTTCTTAAAGTAACTGAAACTTGGAAAAAGATGATTAATTGACTTGACTGTCTCTTTCTGGGATGACTTGTTATATATTGGCTAGAAACTGCAAACTGTAGATCCAACCTCAATTCTTCCTCTTTTTTTTTTTTGCTTGAGAATAGGTTGTAGCTGTATTAACATTTTCATGGGACATTTTGTCTGGACTGCAAGATGACTTTTACTACTTCTTTTGTGAAGATCCTTATTTTTGTGTGTTATTGATACATTTTTAAAAATTTCTTTGGTTATTTTCTATACTGCACACAGAGAACAAACTTTTTAGTTCTATGATGATGTTCTCAGCTAAAACCTGAAGACTCCTAACATGCTACTGTTTATCATGTCATTTAGTGTCACTTTCAATGTGACAGAAGAGTACAGTCTCTGAAGGACCTTCCCACACTTCATTAACACCCACCAAAACCCATTAAAAATATTAATGAGAATTGATTTCTTCAATAAAAAAAGTGATAAAGATTAAATGTGGACCATCAGATAAATGCCATGAACAACTAGCAGTATCAAGGATGAATCTGTGCGAGGTATCACCTTTGAACATTAGTGTTAAGTAGGAAGGCTTAGAGCTAGTCATAAATTTCAACCCAGATTAAAGCTAACATTTACAATCTGACACAAGCAAATGTGTCATTTAGGAGAGACTGGGGTAGCCCTTACATTTCCAGCCTCAAAATTCCAGCTTTCAGTTCTTTCAGTTCTTTCTGCCTTTTCCTATATTTATTGGTTTGGGGTTTTGGTGGTGTCTTTTTTTTTTTTTCAAAGTATTAGCATTTTATACCTTTTTGTATTAAACCCCCTAAGTTTTCTACAGTGAAAGGTGAGGTCTTGCACCTTGTTCTTGCACAGACCCAAGGGCAATGTCCTGGGCCCCCAACCTAGTATTTTTACATCTCCGTTGTGTCTGAGACAAAAGATGGTTGTAACATGAGCTGGACTTATTGCTCCTGAAGGAAAATGGAAGTTGGATAGCATGAGATGGCTGTTTTGTTTGCTTGTTTTTGCTGTTGCTGTTTTTTTAACCATCTGACTTGACACATTGCTACATTAGAGATACTGGATCTTGACGCTCAGAAATCTTCAACAGAGATATTCTGTAAATTGTTACGAGGTTCGTTCATGTGCTAAATTAATGTTGTTCTCTTTCACTCCCTATGTGGAGTATCTGGAAAATCCTGGTTTCTCTTCTGTCATCAAGGTGTTACTTTCGTGCAAAAGACATTCAAAGTGGCTGCGAACTGTACACCAGGGATCTGCAACAATGGCAAAAAAATCAGTGCTACTCACAGTTTGAAGGCTCTAGCCTGTTCATTTGTTGAGCTCCCAGAGTGCTTGTTCCTTTGCATTCCTCAGGTTTTTAAGATTCCTTTAGAAAAACAGAATAGCCTGGCCTAGTTCTGTGTGGTGCTTGTAATGGTATGTGTCCTGTGCTTAATTTATACATATAGCATTCCTGGAGGGGTTTATTATCTTGTGACTATTAATGATCTTATTATCTACATACAAGCTTCTCTAGGATTAGAAAATGCAGGCCTAGGTGACCCTCAGTGCAAATAATTTTTAATATCTGTCTGACCTCAACCTCTAACAGCTGTGGCTGAGGCAGGAACATGAGCTAGCCCAAGGCAACTGGGGCTGGTGGCAGGAACTTTAACAATGTTTGTTTTTGCCTGGGTTTGAACAGCTTGCTACAAACTATGGATGATGTTGATCTGGTACCAGCCTTAGCAAATTAATTGCTGCATTGCAGCTGTTTATACTCATTATATGTCCACGTGTTTTGTATTTAGAAGGTGACAAACTTGAAAAATTTCCTATTTCATGCTTTTGCCCCTGAGGCAAAAATCTCCTTTAATGATGTTTGTTTGTCAGGCTTGTCATCAAAAAACCCTCCAGTGGTAGTTCTGCCAGTGAACCCAAGCAACCTTTACAACATTTCCTCTCCCTACTCCTGGAAAGATTGTCCTGAATTTGACAGCAAGAGAGATTCAGGTTGAGCCTAACTACTACTGTTCATTGACAATAGATGTGAGGAAATAATTTATTTTCTAGTTCTTTGCAGCAGCCTCTAATCTACCCGGAAGCTGTTGCCTTTCAGCCCTCCCTTACTTATGCTGGGCAGCTCCAATTCTTGTGGAGTTTCCTTAGAGGGCGGGCTTTGCAGATAGCTGGGCATTTTTTGCCGTTTATGTGACCAGTCTTCACCTTCTTGAAATATGACATCCAAACACAGAAGAAGCCTTCTTAGCCCTAAGTAAAAGGATAGCTTCCTGGTTTTCAAGCTGTGTTTCTGTTTGCAAGTCCAGCTGAATGCGTTTGCTTTTCAAGAACAGAATGAATGTTGTACTTGTGATGTTACAGCTTGTGGCACGCTGTAATCCTCAAATCCCTTTCCAGAGAGCTGCACCGAGACAGTCATTATCCATCCCATATGCTCCTTTGGGTAATACTTGTTTTGGATGAATGGCATTCTCTGTTTCCAAATCAATGTATCCATACTGACCAAATCACCTTGAGCTCTAATGCTGGCTTTTGTACCTTCTCCATCCTTGATGTTATTTGCTAAACTAAGTTCTGGAAGGGATTTAAAGAAAGATAACATTAGATTTAAAGCACACATCACAAAGCAGCAAGGTGATCTCACTTCAAATCCTCCCAAATATTTCCAGTAGAGCCTGATACTGACCTAGAAGCCCAAATATATCAATCCAAAAGCTTAACTTAGTGTATTTTAGTGCTGTGCTGAAACAGGACACAAGAGAGCTCATTTAAACACTTTACTGAAGCTCTTGATGATAAATTGTGGGAAGCAAAGATGTTCGTATTCCAGCACGAGAATTCCCCCATGTACCCTCTGTAATAGTAAACCTGCTCCTTCTGGGTAGATGATTTTATAAATATATGAAAACAATATCCATTCAGAGACTGATTTTATTTAGTTTCCTGGTTAAATTCCTTGCTATGCTCAGCTGTGTTTCTCTGTCCCACTTCCATGAGAATAAGCTGTAAATAGAGGATTTACTTAAGAAAGGAAGTATGCAAAGTGAAAAAAATTCTTATGTTGGATACTTGGAGGAAGATATGCTTTTCTTTGAAATTAATATGTGTGAAAGGCACACATTTAGTAGAATATCCAAAGTGTAAGGACTGTTAGCTCTTTGTTTTTAACTGAATTATAATTTTTAGTCATCAGAGGAAGAACTTTTGTACTGATCTTGATTTTTCTAAACCCTGACTCTCACTGCAGTAAAACAATTGTGGCTTAGAAACACAAGTGAGAGGCTCAGAGCTGAGCTGTAGACATCTACTATTATCTTGCTGTACTAAAGAGTCTAATAAGTTTGTAATAGGATATAATTCTTTAGTTGAACAATGTCATATATCTCAGAAGAATGAAGGATGGGTATTTAAACTGCTAGAGACTAGTTAGCTTCCATGAGTTTCACACACGATCATAGCCTTTTAGATGACCAAAGAATGACATCTTGGCTAGAAGGTCTCTACTGTAAACAAGGAGCAAGGAGTGTTTTCATACAGTCATTCAAGCAATTAATATTGGATGCTTCTACTGGGAGATAAATGTCTTAATATCTGAAGGTAACTGGTTTTTTTCCTTTGGCAATAAGTGACCCTGTGTAACTCACAACATCCTAATATCTTTGTGTCTGAAAAAATCATCAGAAGAATGAAAGAGTACTTCTACCATATGCAGTAAGTTGTAATTTATTTTTTTTTAACTCTCAAAGTTTTAACAATCTCTTAGTGTAGTTTGTACAACTCCTAATGCATTTGAGGCTGGAGTCTGACAGGTAAATACAGTAATTTGTTTATTTATTTCATGGAGACTTAGGATGGCAGGGGAATGGCTAATTGACAGAACATAATAATAGAGTTCTGTGTTATGTCCAAGCATTTCAATCTCTTTATTTCTGCTCAGTATTAAAATTCTTACTCATGTAACTAGCCTCTACCTTTTTATGTGGGCAATGGATAAGCCAAGGTAACATTGAATAAATCTCTGAAAATGGTGGTAGGCAAGACACAAAACTGCTGTATTGGAGGCATGTACTATGACTCATGGTAACTGTCACTGGAGAGAAGAAAAATAAGAGAATATTCCCTCTGCAGAGTTGACTAAGTTGAAGAAATGCACAGAAGTCTAGAAACAAAGTTTTAGAGCTGCTTCCCTCCTCCACCTTTTGTTGCTTCACTGAAGCAGTCTGATACAAGTGCCTACTATTTCTTAGTATTTGAGTTCACCTTAGAGAATTAAAGGAAATAAGGTAAACCTTGGTTTTAATAGACCTCTCCTTAATTCTAACACATAATGTAGACTAATAGTACTTTAAAATAGTCACTTGGAATGTTACTGATCTTAATAACCCATTAAAGAAAAAAGAAAGTGCTGAACCACCTCTTGAGAAAGCTGAGTTTTACCACAGGTACACAAAAGTATCCATCTTCCTAAGAATTTTATTTTAAAAATTAAGGTCTTGGCTAGATGGGTGCAATTTGTTAAGAAATATGCTATGCTGCTTAAAAAACCCATCCAACCAAAGTCTTTCTAGTTTAAATGATGTAGTCATTATCTTAGGCAGGAAAACCCTCTGGTCTTAAGAATTTCTAAATGCACAAGATCCTTTACACTATATTCTTCCTTTCGGTACAGATGCTGTGAAGTCCCTCATCGCTGCTAGAAACTGTCACTGTATGGAGTGCTCTGCCTGTGATCAGATACACAGTGAAGCCCAAGATTAGTAGGGTTTGATTTAGCAGATGAGTCCAATATCCTCACTCTGGTAGAGGCCACTCTTCCTCTCTTCACACATGTAAGAAGTTGGGGGTCTCTAACAGTTCTTCAGTATTTTCTCTTCAAGTCTCAAGAGCTCAGTTTTCTATTTTGAATCCCACAAGGAGGTTGCCAGGAGCTTTACCACTGGCTTAGCAAGACTTGTGTCTTACCTTGACAGGTCTGCATTGTGGATGGGAGCACAGCTTGCATCAGCATTGTTTGATGGGCTGATAACTCATGAGGCTCTTCCTGGCTTAGGAGTTTAACAGCTGCTGCAGATCAATTGCTAGACTATTTGTTTTAGTAAATTGCCCTTCTGTCTTTTGTGTCATCCAGTGTCAAAGAGAAATGTCATTTTATTGTAAACTGGCCGAAGGCTGTGAAGCTAAACATGGAAATGTGTGTGTATGTGGTTTTTTGGTTTTCCACAATAATTTTAAATGAGTGTGGAGAAAGCACAATGAGGTTGGAAGCAGAAAACCTATAATGGAGAAAATGGACAGCATGTGCTCGTGACTCTGGACATAGCTTTGTTCTGATGGTTCAGTTGTCAGAGGAAACAACTATTGCTGTGTTAACAGCATTAGCTGTTACCCTGAGCAAATCTTTATTCCTGACACACCTGGCCAATGGTCCAACCAATATTTTTATACTTAGTCACAAAGAATGATGTGTTTACCCTAAAAATCCCTCCTGTGGTGATTTAGGGTTTTTTTGTTTTCTTTTGTACTCTTCCTTGGGTAAATAGTCAGTTTCCAAAAAAACCACAAACAAACACAAAAAAATCTAGTTTCCTTTATTCAGGGAAAATGTTAGATTTCAGTTTCTTATGTATCTGACCTTTTTTTTAGAGGTAAAATACAGAGGAGGGGAGCAAAAAAAACTCTCAATGTTTTTTCTCATTGTGCAAATGAGAAAAATATAGCGAAATCTATGAATGTTTTTTAAAAATCATGCTATTTTATTTAATATTTGTCTCAGACAACATAGATGTTTCACCCAGCTACACCAGCAGACAACACAGAGACAGATTTTTTGACATGTCAAAAGAGGAGTGGCCAGTAGGTTGAGGGAGGTTATTCTTCACCTCTACTCTGCTCTTACAAGACCCCACTTGGAGTACTGCATCTTATTCTGGGTCTACCAGCATAAGAAGGATGTGGACCTGTTGAAGTGGGTCCAGAGGAGGACCACAAAGATGATCAAGACCTGGAGCAGCTCTACTGTGAAGCCAAAAGCCTGAGAGAGGTGAGGTTGTTCAGCCTGGAGAAGAGTAGGCTCTGGGGAAACCTTCTAGCGGCCTTCCAATAACTGAAGGGGGCCTACAGGAAGACTGGAGAGGGAGTTTTCACAACGGCATGTAGCAACAGACAAAGGGAAGTGGCTTTATACTGAAAGAAGGTAGAATTAAATTAGATATTTGGAAGAAATTCTTTACTGTGAGGATGGTGAGGCACTAGAACAGGTTGCCCAGAGGAGCTGTGGATGCCCCATCTGTGGAAGGGTTCAAGACCAGGTTGGATGGAGCTTTGAGCAACCTAGTCTAGTGAAAGGTGACTGTGCCCATGGCAGGAGGGTTGGAACAAGATGATCTTTAAGGTTTTTTCCAACCCAATCCATTCTATCATTCCAATTTACTGCATCTGGCTGCACTACTAAAGGTGTTCTCATTGCCTCTGTCTGTTTCTGACCCTATGTTGTACCATACTGATCCACTGATTCTACCATCACCAGTGTTTTGTGGCTTTTTCTGTAGGAAAAAGTGTGAATTTGCCACTTCCTCTGATGCTGTTCACTGATGAGATTTCTGGCCGAAAGTATTTCAGCACGAGGAAGCAATACCCAGAAACAACTTCCTCCGTATCTTTAATTCTGCTCTTCAGTGGTGGTGTGACAGAAACTCATTAGACCTCCTATGACATTGTATTGCAGAATCATATAACGGTCTTTTAATATTTCTGATGGCTTCTTTGTTTTTGACTTTGTGAGTACTTTTTCTCATACAGAGTGACAGGAGTGCTTTCTGCTAAGATGGAGGCTGTTTCCTATCCAAACCTGTGTTATTGTCAAAGGTGGACAAGTTCAAACATACAAGGATTTGAAGGTACAAGAAGAGGAAGAAGGTGTGAATTCTGTTTCATTAAATGCTTGGAGCTGATGATGCTATCTGATTACGGACTCCCTCCTGAATTGGTGTATAAAATGTTGTGATCACAAGGGTCCATCTAAAAACTGGAGCCCCATGAGGAAAACTGACACTGGAGATGTGGGTTGTTTTTTACTTTTTCTATGTGAGAAGGTAAAGATAGTGATTATCATGGTAATTTTACATGATAATCAAGGAAAAGCAAAATAAAAAGTCACTCCAGTTTTGTTTTCAAAGGAACCTATTTCAAGTTGAATTGTTATACAATGCAAAGAGGGTGAGCTGGGGACATGCATGAAAGGAAGAATCGGCTGCTATATGATACAGTTGGCTGTTTCCTAATGTTTCTTAATGAACGAGAGAATGAGACTGGGCCTTAAAATAGAATTTGGGGGAGGGAGGAGAGAATAAAGTTCCCTAAAGCATAATTAACTAGAGAGACACTTTTCTATACTCATTTATATTAATCTTCAAAAGTGAGAATAAAAGTAGGAGAAAAATACAAAGGAACTAGGGTGAAGTAATTTTCCCTACATTCCTAACACTTACAAATTAAGTCTTGCTTAAAAAATAGGAAAAGAAAAGAAAAGGTTGACTTCAAGTAAGGGTCTTCAGGGCAACAATATAAAATTATATGGGTATTTAACTGCTCTGTACCATCGTGCTATAATTAAGACAAAGTACCTTACAATTATTCCTTCAACCGGGTTAATACATACAGCAACCATGAATTCCAGATTAATATATATTAATTTTAAAAAAGATTTAAAAGAACCCAAAACCACAAAACCCCTGGAATGGCATATAAGTATATTAACAATATCAGTTTAAAGATGAAAAATATGTTAAACACTGTCTCACACTATAGACAGTATAACAATTTTTTCATATCTCCTTCTGTGAAGCCTGTTAGCAATATTTGTCATCAAAGACCTTTCATCAGAGCATTAAAATGCTTGCAAAACAGTGAGCTTGTCTGTATGTTTTTGTACAAATTTCTGAAATGAAGACACTGAGTGAGATAAGATAGAGCTTGCCATGAAATGAGAATTTTGCTATAGCTATCTGTCTAACTCTCTAATATATATAAAAAATTAAGAATCTGAAGGCTCAGCATTAGGTTTCATGGTGAACCATGTACCACTGATCATGTGTCCTCGTTATGTGATCCTGTGTTTCAGAGCGGTTGCACCACTGGATGTGAGTACACCATTTAGCCAGGTGTCTCTCTCCTGGGGTGTATCTGATTTTTATGTGATCCTGGAGCTCTTACACAGGTGGACTCCCTTCCATGATCTGTCAGTCCTTCTTGAGAACCTTTGGGGCTAAAACTTCTGTCAGCCTGTCACTGTGCACATCTACTGCTAGCAGGGTGCAATGCCAGTCAAACCAGTCCTGACAAACCTAACCCAGACCATGTAGGGTGTTGCCCTCCCATCAGTCTATCTGTCTATTTTTGGACATCCTAAATGGGAGGAATGTGCGTGCCTGCTTTGAAAAATTTAGTGCTAAGTATCCTCACTTAAATCCTTCTCCACCGGCAATAACCTCCTGCACTTGGGAGCTGGCATCACTGTGCCACCTGTTTGACATTTTTCACTAACTCATGCCTATGAACGTGGGGGCTGCTGGAACTAGACAACCTGGGATGTTAGACAGCTGGTAAATTATGATTTCTGATGAGGATGTCAGAAGAACCTAAATGGTGGAATTATATCTTTAAAGAAGTAAAGAAGGGTGAAACATTTGGAGAATTTAGGCCAAGTGCTCTACTAAATCTAAACTTTGGCATTAATTTCATTTTAAACTTGTGTCTCCTAAGTTTTTAGTAAAGGATTATGCCTTCTTCCTTCAGCTTGATATCTTCCTGAACTTGAAAACTGCCTCTAATGACCTAATGTATGCCTAATTGGGCAAAATTTAAGTTCAGGTTGCAACTGAAGTGTCTGCTCTCCTATATCTCCATCCAGCCTGTTGTACTGACAATTGAAAACATTTAATAAGATTCCTGGAAGTATTTCTGTGCTGAAAATTTGACACTTTGGAGATTCTCTTGGCACAGCCTTGTAGTGAACACCACCCTGATGATACTCCGATGATAAACAGAAGCTAGAAAGGAAGAGAATACAGGGTTCTTCCACTTGTTGTGGAAAGATAGGTGTTTGTTTTGGTGTGGGTGAGCAAAGAACTTCAGGGAAGTTTCTGTCACTGCTGTGTTCAGTGATGAATGACAGTCACTAAAAGTGCACTCTCTGAACTAACTGAAGGGAATCAGCCCTGCCATGAAAAGACTCTTCTTAACAAGGAGGTAGAATTATAGTGAATATGGGCTAAATTTTTACTTGGATGTAGTCAACGCTGTCACCTTCATCTGCGAGGGATTAGATGCAGGTGGGGAGGTTAAATTCTGGGGTGAGAAAGATACAGGTGTAATATTTTGCTCTTGTTAGTGACACAAAAATGGGAAATTGGGGTATGCCTTTAGTGAATCTTGATTTAGGGACCCCAGCTTAAAGAAAGCAAATGCTAAAAGAAAGTGATGCTGGATGTGGTCCATACTTCCCTTTCTTTGAAATACAGCTTGCCTCACTTGGTGGGGAATAAGAACTGCCTCTTTTCTCCCTGTACAGTAGGTTGCTCTAGCAGCTGTGAAACTGTTCAACGGTGCCCCCAGGGAGTGCTATCTTGCTATGGAAATGAATTCAGAAATTTGACATTTTGCTGGCAGGGACAGGTGGTGTCTGTGAGAGCCTGACTGACTACCGTCGGTTTGCCTGATGGATTGACTCCCATCACTGCTGAGCCAAAATTCATTGATTTTACTCTTACTCCTCCTCGGAATGACCTTCTCAAGAGGGAGACTGTACTGATTTTTTACTTTTTCCCCCTCTACCCTTCAACTCTTCCCTGATCCCTTTTGTTTATTTTCTTTTGTAAAAAATCAGCTCCCTTAATCTCTGCTAATTATAGATTGAAGATAAGGGAGGTAAATCAATGGGCTGAGTAGAAGAACAAAGTGTACAAACAGCAGATCTTAAAAAAGAAGAATCATAGGTTGTTCCAGCTTCTTATAGTTGGGAACCGATGCATTATCAGAACAATTTTGCCATTTTACCCCTAAAAATCCTTGTCATGAAGAGAAGAAGGTGGGGAGGGGCAGGGCAAAGAGAATAGAAGTAAAAACCTTTAGAGGAAATTCAAGATCAGGTCAACTCAAAGGTTGGTGTGTGGTGCTAGGGGGCTGCTACTTCCATTAAAAACAAAAGAAAAAATTAAGTTTAGAAAAAGGGCAAAGCCAAAAAGATACTTTGCAGTTTCTGATCAAGGTTTTTACCTTTCAGGATCACCTAGTGGAGATGGCGCAAGAGAGCTTTGCTATCCTCGGTGGCAGGGTAGCTAGAGTTTGAGGGCAGTTTCAAGGAGGACAACATATTAACTTGAACAATTTTAGACTAGGGAGCTGAGATAACCTGACTTTAACCTAAAGCAAAGTAAGGAGGGGGACTGAAGGCAGGGAACATCTGGTCCCTGGGTGATGATGAGGCAAGAGTAGATACAATGGGAACTGCAATTTTTTCTCTGAATTTTCTGATAATAGTATATTTGCTTCTAAGACAGAGTCCATATCTTACCTAAAGACAAACCGGTGATAATAAGAAGGGAAGGCAAAAGCCATTAACTGTGAATTGAAAAAGAAATCTCTTTTGTCCTTTTTTTTCTCTTTAGAAACCACTCAAATTCAATCAAGTTGTAGCTTAAATTATACCATCTGTTAAATGAAAGTGTAGTGATGCTCGCCAAATAAAGGCTTTAGGCCCTTTGTCTGCTGAGGCTCTGAGGACTGACAATGTGCAACTATTATACTTTTGTAAGTTCCCTGCAAATAATTTTTAACACATTCTTAAGCACCAAAATGGTGAATTCCTAGTCCTTTACTTTCGTTAAAAGGTTTGTGGATCCCGTGTAATGGTGCATAGGGAAATATTCACAAGTCTGAATGTGAAGAGTTCTGAAGAAGGGTGTTTGAGCAGGGAACTTCGGCTTGCTGTTACCAAGGAGGAGAGTGCAAACTCACCTCTTACCGCTGAGGTGTAACAGAGGATATACTGGAAGGTGAATGTTTCCGATATAAGCCTAGAGGAGACAGACAGGGCAGTATGGAGCATCCCTTCAGCACAGTGTCAGGAAAAACATTTGTAAGTGGGCTGTGGGGGAACAGATGGATGAGCAGAGTCCTGAGGAGGCTGAAACACCAGAGGGGATGTGACTCTGCATATTATACATGTTATATCACTGCCACATGCAGAGGTGCCGAAATCCCCTGACCGAGAATGTTCTCCTGGGATTGCTGGTTTGGTGTCACACAGTGAGAAGGGGTAAGGTGAGCCATCTGCATTTAAGAGTGCTTTTCCTCACTGAACGCCCACTGACTGGTCATTTCCATCAATACATATTTATATCCGCTTGCTGCTTCTACGTTTGAGTCCAGAGTTAAAGGCTGTAGCTCACTTGTGAGTACCTACCACTTTCTGCTGATACAAGGATGTTGTAGGGCTGACAGACAGCTTTCTGTAAGCAACGCTATCATTCCAGCTTGTGCTGGTAAGATTTTTCATGGTGGCAGCAGTAGTTTCAGGAACCAAACCCTGATGATATTGTATGTTTTATTTTAATTTTTTTTTAATTTTGTTTTTAAAATAAGGGGCTAAGGCTTGTAATTCTTTGGTAATAGAATGCTTAGATTGTTATAGACCGGAGTGTAGTTAGTCACTTCTTTCAAATCCCCAAAATAGTTCAAGGGGAGTCTCATTTTCTACTCAGTAAAATGCACTGACTGTCTCAGCTTTACCTGTGCTGGAAAACTGTAAACACCATATTGCAGATGTTACATTCAATTCAACACAGTCTGAAATGATTGACAGTATCTGCT